TCTATTTTCTTCTGAACTAAATGGTTTGGATAATTATAATTGGTTTATCAATCGAAAATACATAGAAATTAGGTACAGAATATTCATGTCTTGAATCAGAATTTAAAAATAACTTTCTATCTTCACGCTGTTAAGAAATATTGAATACCGTTTAATTTTCAGTAGAATTTCAATTTTCATGATTTTCCCTTCTCAAACTGAATTAAATGTCTCTTTCCTAAAAGTTACTACTGAACTGTCCATGAAATTTATATTTTTTTCCACCAGTAGACTAATGAAATGATTGAAATATCGCCATTTTCAGAGACTGCGACGTTTTTTCATATAAATATTATAATTCTATAATAACCCATTTTCCATTCTAAGAATAATTTTTCCTGAATTGTAGCGAATTTTTCCGATTTCAGAATTTCACCAAAAAACGATTTCATGCAAAAAAATCATATTTTTGGAAGGTTGAACTATTTCCATTATTCATTCCTAAGAAGGGAATGTTGAGAAAAGCAAGTTTGTGGCATCTCCTTCGAAAACCGCTGCTAATCCATGCTTTATTTTCGATTTTCTTCTAGCCAATTCAATATGATTGAAAATCTTCACATAAAAAGTAGTCCGACTTTTTTTTTCATGGAGAAAATTCAATATTCTTTGATTTTGAGGTATAAAGTATTGACTTCATTGAACAAAACCTTGAAAAACAAAAATCGAATAAAAAAATTGAAATCGAATATTTTTAGATTTCCAATTTTTTTCGTTCCATTATCGACATTCAAGTTTATCTAATTATCAATCAGTCAATCTTATTAGCTCTTAACACTTGTCACCAAAAATTTTTTTTTTATTTCAGTAATTGTAAACAAATCCTTGTGCAGAAAATATACACTGATGTATTCAATGTATATATATATACGATGCTTGTTTCTTTTTTTCGAGGTAAGAACTCAAATTTGTAATTCTCGCGCACTTTCTTGAATAGTGCCGTCGCGGTCGCATTGCTCATCCTCATGAAAATTCACATGAGAACTCACCAAAAATTCTCATCAATGTGCCCATGAGGCCCATGAGCAGTGCACCATGACACTTGCGGTAGCCGCCATGATAGTGATTTTTTTTTAGATAGGAGACTTTTTTATATAAGGAGGAAGGAGGATGTACACACGATGTTTGTTTCTCTTATTCGAGGTTACACTGACAAAAAAATCCCTAAAAAATTAGTGTGCTGTACCCCAACGCTGGGACATAACATGGAGTCATCGATAAATTTATACGTAAAAATCCAATTTGTAATTCTCGCGCACTTTTGTGAGTAGCGCTGTTGTAACCGCATTGCTCATCCTCATGAAAATTCACATGAGAATGCGTCTGTCGCGCGCCGCCATAACACTTCCAAATGCATGTCCTGCGCCATGACAGTTTCCAATGCATGCTTTTTTTACATAAAGGAAAATTCAATCAATGAACATTAAATGCGGGAATATTTAAAGAAATCAAAGTGATTGAACGGTTAAAACAAAGTTCAAATTATTATTATTTTCCAATCACTTTTTTTTTATGTTGGATTTTTTTCAACAAAATCAACCAATCGATGCAAATCAAATCCAGTGAGCCCTTTAAGAATGATGATTTCGAATGAGAATACATGAGATATATCTTTCATGTGGATTCATCTGAATCCACGATTAATCATGCCGCCATGTTGAAACGTCACACTCCATACATTCCATCATGATCAACGCCATGTTGGATTTCGTCAACTGGGTCCTCACTTTTTTATATAACGAATATAAGGATGGGAGGGTGAGTATGTAGAAGGTGAGACGGAGGGAAATCATTGTTCTCTCGCAGAAAACCGCAATCGCTGAACAAAAAAAAGATATTTCAATTACAAATTTTCAATATATTTCGACCACTTTTGTGTTCGAAATATTGTTTAATAACTTTTTTATTTTTTTCACACACATTTCAAGCCTTCTTTTATTTTTTTTGCTGGTATTTTAGATAACTGAAAAATAATTAATATGGGTAGAAAAAGTAACAACGTTATGCTGAGGACTTGTTCGAGGTATAATTTGGTAGCACTGATTCACTCAGCTGTTATATTCCTTTCCATAGCTCAATGTATCATGACAACTCCATTCGTATTTGCTACGCTAACCTCGCCACGGTTCCTAACCTCAACGTTGTCGCACGCAGAATTCCTATTTTTCATGAGTTTTTTAATTATCCCTTTTAAACAGTTCGCCTAGGCCACTTAGATGTTTTTTTCATGTTCCTCCATGAAAACTCCACTCAAGTGGGAAGTTTCAGAAAAATGGGGACATTCTTTTATATATTTAATAATAAATAAACAATTTTTTTTCTCTCGTATACCCTTTTGGGTTTTTACAATTTGTTCTCTTCCCACTCCTCAACTCCCTGTACCGCATTCGCCGAAGGACACGGGAAAACTTTATGTGAGGGAAAAACCTGCCCAAGTACAGAGTCTCTTGCGAGACTCTCGCTCGACAGTCAAATCGTGAGATTTAGAGTGCCACAAATTTTGGCCCCCCCAGCCGGGAATCGAACCCGGATCTCCCGCATGCCAATCCTACACTCTAACCACACAGCCACCGTCAACGGTTATATATTTAATTTTTTTTTCCGAATTCTCATAAGAACTCGTGCTGAAATGCATTTTTTAGAAAAATTCATGGGTTTCACCCATTTTCCTGGGATATCTGGGATTTTGCCTAGGAGGTTTGAAAAAATCAAAGGCTGTATTAAAAAAATCATTAATTTCTTGACTCTTACGTACAAAAATGTTCATGGCCACGGCCATGGTGGCGGCATGGCGCTACTGAGGGACTTTGCTATGGCCGTTTGCCACGGCCTTGGCCATGGAGTTGCCATGGCATTACCGTGAAAAAAAAAATTATAATCAAATAATCGAGTAAGAGAGTTTGACCCTCTTGACCCTCGTAACCTTGTTGTACCTTGTGATCCATATGGCTCTTATGACCTTAAAGGTCCCAGAGGGCCGCAGGGGCACAAAGGTCACCTCCGTTAACCCTCCTTGTAACATCAAATAGACTGATAATCAAATAATCAAGTAAGGGAGTTTGACCCTCTTGACTCTCGTAACCTTATTGTACCTTGTGACCCTTATAGCTCGTATGACCTTAAAGGTCCCAGGGGGCCGCAGGGGCACAAAGGTCAAAGGCCATGGCAAGCGGCCAAAAGACCATGGCGCCGTGGGTATGAACATTTTTGTACGTGACGCTCTTTCGACCTCACCCCTTTATGATATCATAAAGCGTTTTCTCGTACATTCGTTATACTCTCGTGTTTTTTGTAGCATTAAAAAACCAGTTTCCGGACTGATAATTGCAAACAATCAAGTGACTACGCTGATTGGGCCCAATTTACGAGGTTATATGGAACACATGCAGTGTTGTAGTGTTGTTGTATGATCGTTAGAGGTTGGACCAACCAGAGTCAAGTGTGAAATTGAATAAAATATTGTTCACAATATTCATTGAAGAAATTCTCGAGAAAATTTTACAATGAAAAATCCGAAAAATATGTCAAAATTTTCGGCAAAACTGAAATCTTGCTGGATAAAAGTTTCTAATTTGAACAAAGTACTTGGATATCCTTAAGAAAAAAAAATTCCTCCCCTAGCCAGGTGTTGGAACCGATGTTTTTTTTTCTTCTCCAATACCTTACCGTTTGGCTACTGTTTTTTAAACGTGTTTATTGAGCCAAAATCATTTATACTGTGACGTGTTATTTTTCGTCACAAATACCATTTCTTTATTCGACCGTTTCGCATGTGGGTTTCTAATTTAAAAATCACCAGACGGGAAGTCACCAACCGACAGCGAGAGTCACGAGAGAGGTTCAGTAAATTTTGTTAATTATTTGTTTTGTATTGCCTTCTGTATTGTCTGAATCGAATCTGGCGCCGACATCGTGGGACTGAGGTGGCAATGTCTCCGGGAATCGTCGAGGGACTTCGGGACACTTCGAGTTCGTGATGAGAGCCTCATGGGTCTTTGGATTGCCAGAGGTCGCCAGCTCTCGGGCAACTCTAGGGGAAACGTGACGTAGGAGCCCGACTGGTTCAATGTGGAAGGGGAAGTGAAGGATTTCACCGAAATCAGAAGGAGGTTAAGTTGAATCGTCTTTTGGTGACAAAATGGTCTGAAGAATGATTTGGAAGGAGGTCGGAGGACATTTGGATTTATTTGATACTCTGGGATAAATTGTTTTTATTAAATAACGTCTGAGAAGTCACTGCCGCTGGGAAAACGAACCTCACTTCCAGTGTTGCCAGATTGAGGATTTTTTCTCCAGATTTGAGGATTTTTCCATACAGCTGAGGATGAGCTGAGGAAATGAGGATTTTTCATTTTTTTTTGAGGATTTTTTTCTTTTTGCCTTTTTTTGCCGTTTTATTGGAAAAGTTTAGATTTTGTTGAATGGGCGGAAGTTCAAATTTTGAATCCCAACCATAACGAATTCGTCCTATTTTTCTTGACCGACGGAGCATGAATGTGGCTCACCAGCGGCACTCGGAATGAGTCCAAAGCAGTGGCAGCCTACCAGCCTGTTACTAGCTGTCGTTCAAATAATCTGCGTTTACATTCTCCAGTTAGATATCCAATTGATTCGATCATTTGACTAATTCCATCGTAAATATCATACCTTCTCACTGACCCACAAAATTACCGAAATTTGATATATTATTTTATCTCATGAATTTGTGATGCTTTACAGGGGATTGTGCATTTTCAACTTCCCTTTTTGAGGTTAAAGAGTTCTGGCGTGTGTCATTCCCAATATCTACATTCACATTTCCAAGTTTCTTACTTCATTCAATTATTCAATCATTTCCATTGTAAGTATCAACCTTATTATTAACCTGAAAAATTGATAAAATTAAAAAAATAATTAAGTGACCAGTCCCAAGCTGATAATTTTTTATGAACAATCAACATGTAATTCCAGATCACCCCATCAACATGTGCCTCTCACATGAATTGGACGAGACAGATTGTTCGGAGAGCAATGAAGGCCAGGAGATATCACACAAAAAAAAATTGAAAAAAGGAAAACATCCCAAGCAGACAAAACAATACCTGAGAAAATACAAGCAAGGTTGGGAAAAAGACGAACGATACAAAGCATGGCTTTCATCGAGTACTCAAGGTCCAGAATTGTTCTTCTGTAGATTTTGTTCAAATCACTACAAATGTAGTAAGACTGCTATTGAAAGGCATATGAAGTCCAAGACCCACGAGAAAGCAGCTAACGAATTCGTAAACCAACAAACTCTGTCTAGTATGAAGTCGATTGAAGAATCGCGGAATTTTGAAATGATGACGAAAGAGAATGAAATTCGGATTGCCAGTTTCATTGCTAAGCATGATTTGTCTTTCAATTTATCTCCGCACTTGGTCAAAATGATCCAGAGTTTGAATTTAGATCAAAAAGTTCTGAAGAATTTGTCTTGTGCAAAAACCAAATGTCAGGCGATCATCTGCAATGTCACGGGTGCAAAAGGTAAAGAAAAAGTTATCCAGTTAATGAGAAGCGAAAAGTTTTCTCTGCTCATTGATGAATCAACGGACATAAGCTCAACGAAAAATCTAGCTGTCGTCACCAGAATTCTCGTTGATGGAGTAATCCGGGATCTATTTGTCGGGCTATTCGAGATTGCTGAGGCAAATACTAATAACATCTACAGTATTCTAGTTGGATTTTTCGATGAAAATGCAATTCCCTACAAACAAAACATGGTTGGGTTTGCTGCTGATGGAGCTTCCGTGATGATGGGACGTAATCATTCGGTTTCAGTGCTTTTAAAAAAAGATATTCCATCTCTCTTCGTCATGAGATGTACATGCCATTCTCTGGCCCTTTGTGCATGTGCTGCCTGTGGCAAGTTGCCTGAGCAGGTGGATTCGACGATGAAATAAGTTCATTCTTATTTCAGTCACAGCTATAAGCGTCAATAAGAGTTTGAAAAGTTTCAAAAGCTACTGGAGCTCAAACCCCACAAAATGCTACACCCAAGTGTAACGAGGTGGTTATCGGTTGAGATGGTCGTTCGGCGGTTTCCGGAGCAATATGAGGCTCTGCTGCAATTCTTCGAATCCGACAGTAAACGATGCACCGTGGCGAAAACATTGTTCACTACCCTTTCTCACCCATGTACGAGATTGTACCTAGAGCATCTGAAGTTCACCTTACCACTATTCACAGAATTAAACAGAGAGTTCCAATCAGAGAGTCCCAAGATTCATGTCCTCCATGAAAAAGTGACTCAAGTATATAAAACCTTTCTACAGTGCTATATCAAAGATTCAGTTATGAAAGAGGTGGACTTGGCTAGAATCCAGTATAGAAATCCAGTCAACTACGTCAATTTGGAGGATCTGTATCTGGGACCTAATGTTCAGACAATTTTGAGGACAACAAAAATTTCTCGAGAGGATTTGCATAAGTTCAAACTTGACTGTCTTTCGTTTTATGTGGAGGTGGCTCATCAACTATACATAAGATTCCCTCTCAATTCAGAAACACAGAAAATTTTATCTCATATGAAACTGATCGATCCTGCGTACCTCAAGAGTGAACGTCCTGCAAGTATTATGCCACTCGTTTTGGAATTCTCACATCTTTAATATAATTCCGAGGTAATTGAATATCAATGGCGATTGCTCCGAAATGATTCGTACCTCAACACTGCAAAGTCTAATGACTTCATCGAGTTTTGGACCGCATTGGAGAAAATTTATACTGCAGACAGCCAGCTCAAATATGGTGAGCTTCTGAAGTTTATCAAAATGATTATGATTCTTCCTCAAGGAACTGCTGCAGTGGAACGCCTATTCTCTGTTATAAATAGAAACAAAAATAAGATTCGCAATCGTTTGGGCACAGAATCCCTGTCTGGGATTGTTTACACCAAGACGCTGTTAGGAGATGATTGCTGTTTTGACTTCAAAGTGTCAAAAGAAGTTTTGACTCTGCATTGCAGTGATATGTATAAATCGAAAAAAAGAACACATTCATGTATGGAAGAAGAAGAGAGGAACAGACTAGAGTCATAACTTATAAGACTGTGATTACTCGTTGTTTAATGCAGAGATATATATGGGCATACTGCCATGTTGAATAGTTACTTACTATAGTCATAAGACTGATTTCACCAAAGAATATTGGGAAAAAACGGGAAGTGACTCGGTGAGTCACTTCCCGTTTGGTGGTTTCGCTATACGTGTTTGAGCAATTTGTGGAGTTCGATTGCGTTAATTTTAGAGTTTTGGGGAGCCTGAAGGCGCTCTGGATGGAGAAATAAACCTGCGGCGGAAGCCCCGAGTGGATTTGTCTGAAGGAAGGTCCCGAGGACTCGGATTTGAGGAGTTTTTGGAGACGTTTTCCGGAGACATCGAGGTGGACTGCTGGGTGAGCGTGATGGCTACGACTCTGTATGACGCATTTGTGTGAATTTGTCCTGAGTAGGACTCTGGCCAATTTTAGAGTTTTGAATCGATGTTCTGTGCATCTTGGTCCCGTAGGACTTTTAGAGTTTCGAAATAATTGCCAGATAGAGTCCTGGTCACTCTGATCAGTAACTGATTAGTGGGTCTCATTTGTCTCTCTCGTGCGTATTTTGAATCATTGTGTTTGATCATTCGATTTCGGTTGTCTTGCGACATTGAGTCATTTCGTAGAGTTTCGGGCTCTCGGGTTTCATGTTGCGAGTAACAATTATTTTATGAATATGTTGGTTGTTGAAAATGAGTTAGTGTTGCGTCTAAATGAATTTGTGTTAGACGAATGCTCTCGCTGTCGGTTAATATTCAGTGAAGGACATTGAACGTAGGTCTTTTGTGTCTCGTGACCTTGCTTCGTTTCGCTGGCCCGTTGTCTTGAGTTTTCGTATTTGTTTCGGACAGCCAGCTTTACTTGTCACGTAGACGAATTCTTGGGTTTCGATCGTTCAGTGTTGTTCAATCTACATGATTATCGTTGATAATATTTTGATTCTGATTTTTTTTTAATTTTTCTCTTGGACATTGTTTATTCTTGACTTTTGACTAAATTGACTAAGTATCTTACGTCTTTATTTTTCTGTCAGAATTCTTTATTCCTTGGACAATTGTAGAATCAATAACTATCGAAGCCTCAAGATCGTTGATCGATCGAAACAACCAAAGGGGGTTTTTCCAAAGAAATTGATTTGTTTTATTTGTATCGAGTCATCTAAGTCTGATTAAATATTGTGATTTTTCCCCCGCAATCTTGAGTTAAATTTATTTATTCGGTCAATACCTAGTCATACTTCAATCTAAGCTTCACCAGTGACCTTCACGCCGTTCTTCGGTCGGACTTAGCAGGAGACCGTTTCGTTTTGGGATTATTCTGGAAATTTTGTTTTTGGCTGTTCGTTTCATTCCAGTGGTCGTTCTGGTAATAACAACCTGGCACTCGACTTATTTGTTGTTTCAGGGTTGTCGTACGTCGAAGGGCTACGTAGTGGATTGAGGGTTCCGTGAACCTCAGGAAATTACGTCACAATACATATGTTGATAACATTGATGTTCTTAATTGATGTTATTAATGTATAAACTTAAATACTTAAATGGAGAATACATACGGGCTCTGCACGCGTCGCATCTCAGAGTGTATGGTTTAGATGAAACACAATGCGTATCTTGTCTTTTTTTTTTAGATAAAATGCATCTGTGACGTTTTTTGATGCATGACAGAGACCAGAAGTTGCCAAATAAAACTGTCGTGAGAATTCTTAACGAGGCAGCGTAAAAAACTAGGTAAACATAATAATTATTATATACATTATGTACAAAGGAAAATGAAGAAAAAAAGCAGGAAGTAATTACAGGGAAATAAGCACAGTTTAGTTGTCTTGAGGGATTTCAGGTAGCCATAAATACAGTTTTTGTAATATTCTGAAGTTATAGTTTTTATCTCTAGCCAATAGAGTAGTATCATAAGTTCAGAGGTTTTTTATCAATTAAGGACTCAATGCTCTTTTGTTGGAAATTACCTTTCGGCTATCGCTTCATTTCTGATATCATTTCATTTTTTCTATATAAGCAACTCATACATATCTTCATAATAATGAATTGTGGCACCATCGATAATCATGACCACCATTATCGATTGATGATTGATTGATTAGGTGGTTCCGGTGAGTCCTTAACCCTAGATTGGTCACTCTATTAGCGAAAACCCCACCTTACCTCGTTTTTCTTTAATTACAAATGACTGGTTAACCGGAAGAATTAAAAAAAATTTGACTTTGTTAATTGAACTGTTTAAAAAATTAGAGTAGTTGTCAGAACAACATATTTCCCAAAATTCCTAAAGAAAACATATTATTTCGAAAAAATGAATTATTTTTTCCCTTTGTTAAATGAAATTGCCCATGACGCGACCTGTGTAGGAATTTGACCGGGGATTCAGCCGCAACTCGGGTACTCAGAACTCGGCCTCGGCTTGACGCTGTACCCGAGTTCACGGCACATCACGCTGCTCCATACCGGCTTGGAACGCAACGCCAAGATGGCACAACCTGGTACCTGAGGTTGAGCAGTGGCTCAACGCTCGAAACTCAGCTCCGACTCAGTCGTGTCGTTTCGAGCGAAGGGTGGGGCAAAATCGAATTGGATCATTCCCCAGAATAATCTTAAAAGTTTCTAAGAATCTTCATCCCCTGAAAAAATCTCGCAAAAAAAAATCCCCATTGCCCCAAATAAAAATACAGAAAAATCGAAACAAGTCCATTTCACGTGTCTTCATTCTTCAAAGAAAAAAAACACAGAAATACATTTGTGAATCACCCAAGAATATCATTTTTGAATCGTCTTCATACAACTGATTCAATTGTTTTTAACGTATCATTAATGACAAAAAAATCTTTTCGTTAAAAATATTTTGTTCAATGAAAATATAAGATGATTCAAATTTCAGTTTAACTCCACGTATGAAAAAATTTAATAGAAAATCCTAGCGAATTCGCTAGAAAATTCTATTGAATTTCTATTGAATTTTCTACAAGTTTTTTTCCGTTTCTATTGACACAAGATCTATGCGCGCGCTCTCGCGCGCGCTGATCTATTCATTTGTTGAAATGAAGAAATGGAATTAATTGGATTTCATTTTCTCATGAATACCTTATAAATATTGATAATGAATCAAAGAGAATTCGACTAATAATTGAAGTGAATAGCGAAGTAGAGTAAAAGAATCTATAAAGAATTTTTCATTTTCCATTAATTATCTTCATTTTTTTAAAATAATCGGTCTCCATAAAAGGACAGAATTTATTAATTTCACCGATGATATATATACATGTGGGTTAATAACCCTTAAACATATATATATATATAACGTGAAAAAAAAATTTACCACTGAAAAAATTATGTCACTGAAGAATTTGGAAATGCCGCGTGTTTTTTTTTGTGAATAACTACGTGTCACATATTGACCAATCAGAATTAAGGATTAGCGGTCAGGCAGTTTCGAGATATTTCGATATAAAACAACTTCACGTTTCTTTCATCTTTAGTAAATAGGATGTTCGATAGGAAATGTTCTATAGAAAAAGTCAATAGAAATCGATTTCCTATAGAATTTCTTCGGGTCAAATTTTATAAGTTCTTTTGTTTAATTTTCTTGAAGGGAAAAAAATAAAAATTGAATGAAAAAAACTTGGAAAATTTGAGCCGAGAAAATTTTATAGAAACTATCTCAATAGAATAAGTTTTATAGAAAAATGAAATTCCATTGACTTTTTCTATATAATATTTTCTATTAAACATGTCAATAGAAACGGCAAAAAACTTATAGAAAATTCAATAGAAATCCTATAGAATTTTCTAGCGAATTCGCTAGGATTTTCTATTAAATTTTTTCGTGCGTGTCTTCCATGAAAATGAATTTAAAA